GCCCTCACCAGTGCATTTGCATTGCCCCTTGGTGTGTAAACAGGCCTCCCCAAACACATTTCCTCTTCCCCCACAAAGTGTCCTGCTGGAGAAAGCACATTGACTTCCTTTACAGCTCACAAAAGCTCTCCTCCCAGCCTCCTTGACCGCTGGCTGTTCTCCTTGCTCTGACAATTAGAGCCCGTAGCTGGATTTTCTAAGAAGAATCCAGGTTTCCAATGCTCTGTTCTCCTTGTTCAAAACTGCATTTGTACATGGTATATATAGCACAAGCCCTGATGGTTACTTTGTACGCTAGAATCCCAGTCCCAGTATTTATTAGATCCGGCTCCTTGCCTCTTTCGGATGCTTGAGAAACCTTCAAGTAGCATTGTACTCTGAAAGTTTGCCTTTGCAGTATTGTCCTGTCTTTGCATTTGGAAGTAGATTTGAGCCTGACCTCTGTGTGTGTGTGTCTGTGTGTGTGTGAGTGCATGCCTGTGTGTGTGTCTGTGTGAGTGACTGTATGTGTGTGTGTCTATATGTAAGTAGGTGCATGTCTGTGTATGTGAGTAGGGGTGTGTGTGTGTGTGTGTATCATGAATGGGTGCAAGTCTGTGTGTGTCTGTGAGTGGGTGTCTGTGTATGTGTGTGTATGTGTTTATATGTGGTGAATAGGTGCGTGTCTGTGTCTATGGTGAATAGGTGCATGTCTTTGTGTGTATATGTATGTGAGTGGGTGGGTGAGTGTGTGTGTGTGTAAGTGCATGTCTGTGTGTCTGTAAATGCATGTGTGTGTGTATCATGAATGGGTGCAAGTCTGTGTGTGTGTGTATTTGTTTATGTGTGGTGAACAGGTGCGTGTCTATGTGTGTGTGTATATGGTGAATGGGTGCATGTCTGTGTGTGTATATATATGTGAGTGGGTGGGTGAGTGTGTGTGGTGAACAGTAGATGCGCGTGTATATAAGTGGGTGGATGTGTATATGCATGTGTCTGTGTGTGAGTGGATGTCTGTGTGTATGTGTGTGTGAATAATAGACGATTGTGTGTACGAGAGAGTGCATGTCTGTGTGTGTGTGTCTGTGTGTGTGTATGTAGCAGGGAGTAAGGGAGCTTGGACTGGGGGTGAAACATGATAGAATATAATACATGGAGATGTCACGGGGGTTTTCTATAAGATTATCTGGTGAAGTGAAATGTCACAGAGCTCCCGAAACAAATATACTTCTCCAGCCAAACACATCAATTGCTCAGTGAAGTCCTATTTTCTCAGTCTAGGGAAGGGGGAACATTTCCCAGCGGGGTAAATCGTAATGGATCACATGACGAGATAGCACGGTGGTTTCCTTAGGAGGAAATGCTCTGGAAAATTAACAGTTTTCGGTGATACACAGAACACGACCCCCCATCCTTTGCCCTAGAAGGGAGAAGGCTCTCCGCAGGCAATACAGGCTGTGCGGGATCTCTAGCAACCATTCCTCTAATGTGGCAACGCCGCGGCTACCGTGGGCTCCGAGAGCTCAGGGCTAATTGTACGGTGTCAGATGGTAGGTGTGTCCGTGGTACGGTTTTAAGAGGCACATCAGTGCAGCTTTATACAACATAATAGGCGCTGATTAGGCAGCCGTGTGGTGTGGCAGCAGCGTGTGCGCCAAAGACTGTTAGCTGCCCGCGCTGGGGCCCACTTGAGCTGCAGAAACACACAATGGTGCCTGGGGAGATGGTGGCTGCAGCTCCAAATCTTTTCACAGGGGATTAGCTCTGGCTCTGGGGAAGGGTGAGGTGAGATCAATGGCAGAATTCCCCTGCGAGGCCTGGCAGACACCCGAGGGTGACATTCTGGCCAGCTCTGACTCCGACCTGAGTGAGACCCTTTTGTCTGCTGCACTCCCCACAGCGGGTGATTCTACACCTGCGTGCGTCCCGCGAGCCCGAGAGGCCAGCCTCCTGTTCCTGTATATATAGGTCGCGCACAGTGTGTGATGATCGTGGAAAGCAGGGCTGTGGAGCTTTGCTGTCACTGCTGACAATATTTCCTGCCTCCCCCTCATGTTCTAACCCGGTCCCGCGTGGTACCAGTGCCCAGCTGCGGACCAAGGCTGGCTTTCCTCCTCATGTTTCCTTTACGCGATGTCACCAATCCCCAGTGCTTGCTCTGTAAACAGTTGGGGTTTGGTTGTGTTTTTGTGTTTGTGAGTCACACCCTGCTTTCCATTTCCAGAGTTACACCTCTAAGCTGGCTCCCCACACCCTCATGCCAGGATTCCAGGCCCAGAACATACAGCTGCCAAAACAAAGTGCCTTCAACAGCAGGTGTCAGTTCTGCCGTGACCTGCCCTTCAGGTTGTCCAGCGATGACCCGCTCCCCTCCACCACCCTGTCTCATCTCTCAGTAATTCCCCAAACAGAGCTTCTAGTGCTGATAGGCGGGGCTGGCTTTCTCTCTTGGACCTATAGTTTGCTTTTTTTCCATTTTGTACCTTTGCCCTGGTTTCTCTATTCTATCCTTGGAATATTCTCTATTACCTTCTGTAAAAGCTACGAGGTGCACTATCTACTCAAGATTTGTCTCCGCTAAAATCATCTTTCCTGACAGTCATTTTGTTTAGATTGTGGACTGGAACCTTGTAGACTCTCAGTGCCTCAGAGGCTAAAAAGAAAAGCCCTAAATCCAGGTTAGAATCCTGGGTCTGCAGGAGACGAAGGTTGCCGTGAGCCGAGATCACAACACTGCACTCCAGCCGGGGTGGCAGAGCTAGACTCCATCTCACCAAAAGAAAAAAAAAATCCTGGGTCTGTGTTCTAGTCTGTATCTCAGCTTTCTTACCCAGAATATAGAGAAGATTCACAGTACCTCTCAACAGGAGTTCATGGGATAACATGAATACCATGCCTGACACGTGGTGGGCAATTAAGAAATGTTTTCATTTGTTTTTTAATGATTTCAACTTTTATTTGAGATTCCAAGGGTCCAGGTGCAGGTTTGTCCCATGGATATACTGCATGACACGAAGGTTTGTGGGTGCGAATGATCCTATCACCCAGATAGTGAGCATGATACCCAGTGGGTAGTTCTCAGCCCTTGCCCTTTTCCCTCCTTCACCCATCTAGGGGCCCCTAGTGTCTGTTCTTCCCATTTCTCCCTCCATGAGTACCCGATGATTCACTTTCATGTATAAATGAGAATAAGAGGTATTTGGTTTTCTGTTCTTGTGTTTATTTGCTTAGGATCATGGCCTCTGGCTGCTGCATCCATGTTGCTGTAAAGGATATTATTTTGTTCTCTCTTTTTTTTTTTTTTTCTTTTTTTTTTTGAGATGGAGTCTCACTCTGTCACCCAGGCTGGAGTGCAGTGGCATGATTTCAACTCACTGCAACCTCTGCCTCCTGGGTTCAAGTGATTCTTATGCCTCAGCCTCCTGAGTAGTTGGGACTACAGGTGCGCACCACCATGTCCAGCTAATGTTTTCTGTATTTTTAGTAGAGACAGGGCTTTGCCATGTTGGCCAGGCTTGTCTTGAACTCCTGACCTCAGGTGATCCACCTGCCTCAGCCTCCCAACGTGCTGAAATTACAGGCGTGAGCCACTGTGCCCGGCCTATTTTGTTCTCTTTTATGGCTGTATATTATTCCATGGTGTATATGTACCACATTTTCTTTACCAAATCCACCATTGATGGGCACCTAGGTTGACTTCATCTCTTTGCTATAGCAAATAGTACTGCAATGAATATATGAGTGCATGTGTCTTTTTGTTATAACAATTTCTTTTCCTTTGGATGTACACTTAGTAATGAGATTGCTGGACGGAATGATAGTTCTATGTTCTTTGAGAAACCTCCAAACTGCTTTCCATAGTGGCTGAAATAATTTACATTCCCACCAATGGTATATGAATCTTCCCTTTTCTACATGGCCTTACTACCTGTTAATTTTTGACTTTTTTTTTTTTTTTTTGAGATGGAGTCTTGCTCTGTCGCCCAGGCTGGAGTGCACTGGGGCAATCTCGGCTCACTGCAAACTCCGCCTCCCGGGTTCATGCCATTCTCCTGCCTCAGAGCTGGGACTACAGGCGCCCGCCACCACGCCTGGCTAATTTTTTTGTGTATTTAGTAGAGATGGGGTTTCACTGTGTTAGCCAGGATGGTCTCCTGACCTGGTGATCCGCCTGCGTTGGTCTCCCAAAGTGCTGGGATTACAGGCATGAGCCACCATGCCCAGCCGATTTTTGACTTTTTAATAATAGCCATTCTGACTGCTGTGAGATAACTTCTTATTGTCTACTTACACATTTTTACAGCATCTCTGAGCATGGGTTGTAGTTTGTTATCATTTATTAATAAATTATTTACATGTGGAGATCCATGTAAGCCTTAAGCAACCCAGTGACAGAAATCAGCGATCATGCTTCTATATCCTTTGACTTTGTTCCCAAATCACTTAGCATTTAACTCTACTCAGAGGCAACATTTAATACGTATTGTAATGCATGTCTGACTGGTACAAAGAATTCACAAATAGAAAATCATGCTCTATTACTTTCCGTATTAGAGAAGAGTTATTTTGCCCCTCCTATTTTTATTTTATCTCCTTTATTTTAAAGACTACACCAATTATGGGAAAGAGCTTATCTGTGCATATGCTATAAAATTCAAGTATTTAATGCAAAATTCAGCCACACTCCATTTTTCTTTGCTCCTTCAATCTTTTTTCATCACATCTCTAAAATTAGAATAAAGGTGAGGGGACTTTAAAAATAAAACTAAAAATATATCTAAACTAACCGTGAGTTACAAATCAGCCCTTATATGTTGTTTTTATTGCTTTCTGTATTCATATTCATTTTAAGTGATAATATCATATTCACTAAGATATGAGATTTTAAGTTGTATATGTTTTTCCTAGTCTTGAAATTCTACTCTATGTTCACCTGATCCCTAAGGCTGCCACTTTACCATTGTGCTTATAGGATCTACTCTTTTATGAATGAAAATAATACAAATAAAAATAGTAGGCATTAAGCACTTACCCTGTGCTAACTCTTGACAGGCATCGCGTTACTTTGGGTCTCCAAGATGGGATTAGACATGCACAAGTTTTACTGAGAACAACCAAACAGCTGTGAGGGACAAAAAGAAGGAAAGCAAAGCAAAGAGAAAGAGCCTTTAGACAGTGATACAGATTGGATAGGAAGAGTCTCAACCTGTGGGACTGTTCTAAGAAACTTCCAACCAGGATGAGGGGAGACCTCAAGCCAAGGTGCTCCTTAAAATTGTTCCTCTTCTTGCAGAAATCGGGCCTGCATAAGACCTTTGCTGAACATGGGGGAAGATCCGGGAAGTCAGCCACTGGAGCCACCCGTCAAATATGTTTGCTGTTGTGGGAGATCTGGGAGCTGCATTTTCTTTCTTTTTTTTGAGACGGAGTCTTGCTCAGTCCCTCAGGCTGGAGCGCAGTAGAGCAGTGGTGCGATCTCGGCTCACTGCAAGCTCCACCTCCTGGGTTCATGCCATTCTCCTGCCTCAGCCTCCCGAGTAGCTAGGACTGCAGGTGCCCTCCACCACGCCTGGCTAATTTTTATTTTTATTTTTTGTATTTTTGGTAGAGACGGGTTTTCACCATGTTAGCCAGGATGGTCTCGATCTCCTGACCTCATGATTCACCCTCCTGGGCCTCCCAAAGTGCTGGGATTACAGGCATGAGCCACTGCGCCCGGCCAGGAGCTGTATTTTCATGGCCACCATATGCATGCACTCACTTCATTTCACAACACATAAAAACCAGAGAGTTTATGCAACTTTTCCAAAGGCATGCCACAGATGAGTGACATAACTAGATTTTGGCACAGGCCATCTTATTTCAGAGCCCATAACAGGTAGGTAAGTAAGTAGATGGGTGGATAGAGATAGATGAGAGGAATATGTAAAAACAAAATATATATAGTGTATATAATATGTAAATATTAAATTCAAAATTTGATTCTATTTCTTTTATAAATGCCATAAATCATTCTTAATTCCCCAAATTTGTCATACAAAGTCATGGTTATCACTTTGGAGAGTGCTTGAGTTTTATACCAAATGGTGACACATTTGAGAAGAACAAAAAACTTCAATCTCTTCTCTCTTTTTTTGTATTTAAAGTCAGCACTTGCCTATAGGATAAATGGTAATTTCTCATTTTCAAATACATGAATAACATAAGAATCTCCTGAAATGGAGCTATGCCTTTATCAACCAATTTTCTATTGAAAATTCTTTTTTGTGTGTGTGGAATGATGCTTCAGGAGTACCAATAATTGCCTGAGGGGTTTTTGTGTGGGTAGTTGTTGTTTTCTGGCTTCATTACTACATTATATGCTTCTGTTGAGCGCTTGCGTTAGTCAGAATAAGGTAAGATGAAGTAACAAAGAAACCCGGGTATGAAAGGAGACAGGTGTACAGAAATGTGCTCCTGCATGTGATTATTAGAGCTCCTTATATCTTGTGACTATGGCAACTCCTATAGAAAAAGCAAAACAAAACAAAACAAAACAAAAACATTGTGTTCCACAATTAGGAGTTTTTATGGACCAGATCTAGAGGTGGAACATGGCATTTTTGCTTCCATCTTAATTTATATGGCCACAAAAAACTGCATGGAAGACTTAGAAATACAGTCTAGCTTTAGGCGCAAAGGAAGTGTCAACAAGTTTTGGCTAGCTAGCTAGGAGTCTCTGCCAAGTCGTATGGAATATTCTTCTCATCAGTACTCCAAATTCTCTAAATTAAGATTCCTTTTCATCTTAATCTTCTCACTGTTAGGCAGGTTCTAAAGGTCCTTTGGCACATATATGAAGCCTCACTTAAATATCTGGTTAAAAAGTCATGACTTTGTTTTTTTGAGACAGAGTTTCACTCTTGTTGCCCAGGCTGGAGTGCGATGGTGCAATCTTGGCTAACTGCAGCCTCCGCCGTCAGGTTTCAAGAGATTCTCCTGCCTCAGTGTCCCAAGTAGCTGGGATTACAGGTATGTGCCACCATGCCCAGCTAATTTTGTATTTTTAGAAGAGGCAGGGTTTCTCCATGTTGGTCAGGCTGGTCTCGAACTCCCAACCTCAGGTGATCTGCCTGCTCAGCCTCCCAAAGTGCTACGACTATAGGCATGAGCCACTGCACCTGGCCTTAAAAGTCATGACTCGTATTAAGACCATTGCTGCTCTACCCCAGAAAATCTGGTTTATTCAGAAATAATCTTCCTTTTGAAATGTTCAGAATAGACTATTAGGGGCAAAAGCCTTCTCTCTCTTTTTTAATTACGATTTTTATTCATGAGGGTATTTCGCAAGGTGGCAGTATGACTATGGCCCTTTCAGGTTAAGGATTCTCTGCTTCTCTTTGGTCAGCACCTCATCACCATAACTCATAATAGGAAAGACGGAACTAGTTTCAGATCTGCCATTTCTTTGTCACAGAAACACCAACAAGTAATTTATCTCTCTTGGCTTGTGTACCCTAATCTGTAATTGAGAATCTTGCTCTTCTAATTTTATAGAGTTACAATGGGTAAAGTATGAATGTGCTTTCAAAACCAGGGCTCAGGTGCCAAGGAGTGGCAATCTTTGTTATACTCTCATCAGAACGTACTAGATGAACCATGGCTGAGCGCACAATTTGTCGCGGTTATGGACAAGGCACTATGGAGTAATACACATGAGTTAGGATCCAGAAGTTAAATGTTGAAGATAAAAGAAACAACCATGAAAATATGATAAAAGATAAAAGATAGAGCTTCAAGGAACATATGAAAGCAATCACAAACTAAAACCTGGCAGAGCTGAAAGGGTGTTAGAGATAATCTTTTGATTAGCAGAATGTGAAATGAATTAGAGGAGTGCCTCGCCCACCAGTTCTGCAGCAGTCTGTGGGCCATGCCTTGAAGTACCCAACTCTGTTGGAGCTCCCAACCCCACACTGAATTCTTTGTGTATAGGCCTTGGGTTTCATAAGGTTAAGGGTTACTTTAAAGAGCCCAGACCCTGAACCGTCAGGGAGAATCACGAGGGAAGCCATGATGCCAACTTATGATTAATTTGAAAGCCATACTTTTGCTGTAACTGAGACTTCTTATATGAGTAGCAACGTATTTTAAAACATCCATTGGTTTGCAGAGGTTATATGACATTGTGATGTGTGGGCACAACTTGCTTTGCATATGAGCTAAGGAAAAGTTCATATGGTTATTAGAATGTGTGATAATTTGTCTCATGAACAAATATGAAAACAAAATGAGGGAAGTAGCCCAGACTACACAAATAACTACACAGTGTTCAAGGGTGGCCAGCTGAACAGTGCCAACCAAATCACTGCATGATTTAGGGATGCTGGGATCCTGTTAAACCACAGGTGTGATTGTACTATAATTATTGCTGATTTGTACCTTTTTCAGGTTTTTAAATTTTTCAAGTGTGATACTGACATTTTTGTATTTGAAAGCTGCCAGCACAGAGAGACTGTAAATCCCCACAGATATTGGAAGAAAATTACATTGTCTAACACTGAATAATATCACTTGCATTAGTTAGGATTATGCTAGGTGTTGGTCCAAATAAACTAAAAATATCGATGCATTAACACAACAGTGGTTTAGTTCCCACTTATGTAAAGTCCGTTTGGCAGCAGGATGGAATGAGGACTGTATTCCACGCAGCCATTCAGGTACTCAGGCTGCTGAAGCCTCTACCGTTTTTCAGTACAAGCTTCCACAATTACTCTGGGAATCAATATCTCATCAGCTGACAGAGACACATATATGGGACATTTTTATGAGTTAGACCTGGAAGTACTATCTTTTACTTTCTGCCCATTCCGTTGGTCATAGATCAGTCAGATGGCTACACCAAACTGCAAAGGATACTTTGAAATGTACCATATTTGTACACTTAAAAGGAAAATGAACATTTCTGAAGATGAACTACCTGACTCTGTTTGACCCAGGACCTTACATTTGTAGAATTCTTGTACCATTATAAATCTCTTTCATCTGCTTTGACTCATTGGATTATAAACCACCCTGTGAATTATTTTAGTCTTCATCCTTATTTCAGCAAAAAGAAACAGAGGTCCAGTGGTTATGTCAGTTTCCCATCATCACATACCTGATAATTTGGGGAGCTAGGATTCAGCTTCAAGTCTCCTAACTTCAAAGCCCATTTCCTTTCTTTATGTTGCCCTGTGTACTTCCCTTTGCTGCGTGTCTTAATGGGAAAGAAAGAAAAAAACACAGGAATTTATGAATCCTGCCTTAATGTTGCTTACAAGAAAGCACACAAATAAAGCTACTGAGAAGTAATTACAGGACAGCATAGAGACAAATATAGCATAATATATTAAAAGGCCAAAAGCAATGAGATTTGGTGGGATAATTCATCTAAGGCTACCACACATATACTATTTACTTAGTCCGAAACCTGAGCTTTCTATCTCAGTTTTCAATCAGCTTTCTTGGAAATAGAAAATATTCTAAACATAGTTCTGAAAGCTATTTCTTGTCCTGTTCCTAAACACGGATTCCACAAAAAACTGATTCAATTCCTGGGATTTGATATATTCTCAAGCAGTGATTCATGGAGCATGCTTAAAGAAGAACAGTTCTGGAGGATAAAAGAAAAAAATACTTATGGACTAAGAAAAAAATAGGTTTAATAGTTTTAGATTTAGCCAACGTATATTGAGTACCTAATAGACACTAGACACTGCAGATGATTTCACACATATTATTTTGTTTGTTCAAATGCAATTACATAGAAGCAAAATAGGATTTGTATTGTCTGGAGATATAAATTATTTATGTTATCCTTGGATCTCTTTAGTATGAATAAATGATATTTGGCTTTGTGTTTTTGCAGGTTATTGCAAACTTTCCAAAATTTTGCTGTATTTTTAAATAAAACCTTAGATCTTAGAACAAGAAGAGATATCAAAAGGACATCTGGTTTACCCCTCTATCCTCAGGAAATGAGTGGTGTTTTCCCATTCACTAGCCATGTTACCAGGAGCCACTCACTTTTCTAAGCCTCAGAATCTGCATATGCTAAATGGTAGTTCTAATACACCCTCCCTACCTTCTGTGCTGATAGCGATAAGCATCATATGTTGTGTTTTCTAAACTATAAAGCAGTATGCACAGTATATATCAGATGATGCTTGATCACCATTTAACAGAGGAGACGACTGAGGCTCAGGATGGTGAAAAGGACTTCCTCGGTGTCACAGAGTCAGGGAGGAGGCCTTGGAAACTTAGATTCTTTACTTCCAGGGCCACCCTTTTTGACATCAACTTTAACTGCTCCATATACAAAAGACTTGAACAGAATTTTTGGTTTCTTTTGATCTTTCCCATGATTAAAGTAGGTAAAATATCAATCCAGAATCATTTTGTTCAGTGGATAAAAGAGACAGAAACGGCAGCCTCCCCTGATATTGTAGTGAGGGGCTGGCTCCAGGAACCATTGCTTGTGCATTTAAATCACAGAAATCTCAAGAGTGCTCAACTGAGCTCTGTTTGGTAAATACTCAAACAAGACTTGCAAACACAACATGCACACACAATTTAGGAAATTGAAGACCTTGCATTATTTTCCCAGTTACTAGGAGAATGGCACAAATTTATATTGGGGGAGGGGGGTAAAGTTCTACAGGTTCATATGATATAGTTTTTTGCCCCATAATAGGATAATTATTAAAATTATTAACTCCTTATATTTTCATTGCAGTTAGTGTCAAATATATGTGTGTGTGTGTGTATATATATATATATATATATATATATATATATATATGTATGTATGTCTAAGGGTCAACTTTGAGAACTGATTTCATATTCTAGTAAGAATGAGCCAGTAACAATTTGGAACACAGAATTTTGGCTAAACAAAGAGACACTCAGGGCAGGCTTTTTAAATAAATGGGGGGAATAGCAGTTGGTAAGTGTGCCCAGAATCATTGTGGCATTAGGGGCATTTTGATCAATTAAAATAACAAAGTAATTAACACCTGCTGTGTGTTACAGCGGGGAACAAGGTAAATTGCCATTCTCTTGGAAGCTTCTGGTTTCTACAAATCCTGCTCTGAAGGAGAGGCACAGGGAAGGTCAATGTGCTCACAAGTAGGTCTCTTACCAGAAAGACAAGGTCTGCAGAACGTGTTCACAAATTTAAATATACATATATACCTGTTCTTGCACTCTTCCAAAGAGATTTTGGTCTTTACAGGATGACATTTAAAGGCTACGCCAAATAATACTCAGCTGTTCCGGACAGCATCTTTTCACTCAGTATGGTATTTTATCTATTTCAAAAAATAGAAGTTCCTTCGATGTCAGTAAACAGTGTTTCTCAGAAACCTGATGTTAATGGCTGTGTGTGTACTGTCAGAATTCTTATGCTAAAGTCTGAAATCCGCAGGACCTCAGAATGTGACTATATTTGGAGACAATTGATTTAAAGAGGTAATTAAGTTGAAATGAGGGACTGAGAGTAGGCCCCAATCAAATAGGACTGGTGTCTTTCTAAGAAGAGATTAGGCCATGGAGATGCACAGAGGAAAGACCACGTGAAGACAAAGGAAGCAGGCAGCCGTCCACAAGCCAAGGAGGGAGGGCTCAGAAAAAGCCAATCTTGTCAACAGCTTGATGCTGGACCTCTGAACTATGAGAAAATAAGTCTTCTGTTGTTTTAGCTGTTCAGTCCATGGGATATTGTTACGGCAGCCCTCGCAAACGAATACGCCTGAATTCCAGAGAAGGATCCTGCCTCTGAAGCTACAATTGTGTAATTCTGGTTGAAATTATTGTCATTATTTGAAAGATTCTTCTGTGTTAGACACACAGGAAGGTGTGTGGGTGCACAAGCGGAAAGATAATGCCCTGTAGCCGGGATGTTAGCAGGTTAAAAGAGTCTGCTCTCTCCCTCCCAAAGGGGGAAAATCCATTAAACAAATGTACTTAAGAGCCCATTGTTCCGAAAACATTCATTACTACAATTGTGGGATAAGAAGGGAAATGAAAAAGAACAAGAAACTATCAGTTTTACTGGTAAACAAAAGGCTGAATTTTGCATTATAGTTGAAAAATCACCAACTTTCTAATCTGAAAAGCTGATGTTTTGCCCAGACTCTAGCATTATCTACTTGCCATGTTTTAGATCCATTTTATCATCTTTTGGGCTTTGATTTTCTCTCAGACCCTTCAAGTGGTGATTGTCTCTAGCTTCTGCCTTTCCACTTTCACAAATGAATATTGTTAGGAATATTATGGTTGGGTTGGTACACTCTTCCACCACTGCTCACCTGCTAGCTGACTGGCAGAGTATATTTTCCTGCAACTTGCAAAAATACATATTGGCGTAAGGTTGAAAATCATTAAAAGGGAGAAAAAGAAAATATTACCACTTTCTGGAAAAAAAAAAGAAAGAAAAAACTATGGTATTTGGGGCTGTTTTCTCTGTTGTAGTAGGTGCACGTTTCTGTTTTATTTTCCTATATTGGTATCATAATTGTTTTATGCCCTTATCAGTGGATATTGTATCACTCATATTTTCCATCTGTTGAGTAGTGATTAGGACAACTAACCAAATATTGCTAGTTCTCCCAAATTCAAGTGCATGATAAGATACCTGGTCCCCCAGGGTTTGGGTGGGGCTGTAGGTTTATTTTGGTGGACGAAGTGTCCGTGAAAATAATTTGTGTCATTTCTGGGCAAGAGCACTTATGACTGGCATCAAATCCACCAAAGCTGTTTTCCTTTCTGCCATGGAACTAGCGATGATCAAGGTAGTGCCTTTTCTCTTAGTCTCTGTGTTAATTTCTCATGGCTGCTATAATGAACCACCATAAACCTGGTGGCTTTAAACAACACACATGCATTCTCTTACAGTCTGGAGGCCAGAAGTTCAAAATGAGTATTATAGGGCTAAAACTAAGATGTCGGCAGAGCTGTGCTCCCTCTGGTGGGCCCAGGGAAGAATGTGTTCCCTTTTACAACATCTAGAATTTCATTCCTTTAAATCCTTACTTTTGCAGGGTGAATCCTTACAATCATGGTCTCTTCCTCCATCTTCAAAACTACCATCAAAATATCTTCTCTCTAAGATACTGCCAATCTCTGCTTCTGTCGCATGGGCTTCTTCTCTTCTGCCTGTAGTTAAATTTTCTCTTTACTCTCTCTTATAACAATATTTTTAGTTATTTTTAGGACCCACCTAGATAACCCAAGGATAATCTCCTCATCTCAAGATCCTTAATGTAGTCACATCTGCAAAAACCCTTTTCTATGTAAGGTAATATTTCTAGGTTTCAGGGATTTTGACCTGGTTATCATCGGGGGGTCATAATTCACCCTACTGCAGCCTGCATCCCACAGTGAGGAGAAGTGGAACAGAATTCCCATCAGCCCAACATGGATGTGTGACGTGAGCACTAGATAAACCTGTATTTCTATAAGCCACTAGGATTTAGGAGGTTGTTTTTGGTGTTATTGTTACCACAGAATAACTTGGTACATACAGACCAGGAATGGTACAATTTAATATTTTTTTACCATTTTACTTTTAAATGGCTGTGTCTTTTCTTCCATATAAACTATATTATAGTTAACTTAATGACTATCCTACTGGATTTGGCATCGTGTCTAATATTTCCATGAATATGTTAATAGATAAACCATTGAGTGTGTCTCTGATTATCCTTTTATGGAAAATTTCTAATGAATTCCTGGATCCAAGAGTGTATATACATGGAAGGATGTTTCACCTATGGTGAAAGGACTTCCAGAAATGATTGTGTCCATTGACACCTCAAGAGTAGCATTTGAGCAGAACCATTGATTTTAACCCTCTCTCAGGGAAGGCTTTGGAAAAAGAAAAGTAAATAGCCTGTAAAAGTTTTAGCTAGTTCAATAAGATAAACTTGGGATGTTGAAGTAATCAATGCTATGTGAAGTTTCTCAGTTGTTTTAGGGGTTATATTAAATGAAGCAGAGGTCATATTTCATGCTTCTATTTCTAAACACACCTACCCTGATACATTTCCTGTATGTAGAAATGTGAAGAATGTCAGGATGAGGTGGGGTAAACGGTGAGTACAGAAACAACCTTGGTAAGTAAACTTGCTCAGGTAGAGAGGGTCTGATTGAAGATGAAAGCAGAGAGAATTAACACGTATTGATCACATTTCACGGGAAGGCTCCACGTTGCAGACT